CACTCCCTCCACACTCACCCCTTCCCACCCATCTCACTCCCTCCACATTCACCCCTTCCCACCCATCTCTCCCTCCCTCCACATTCACCCCTTCCCACCCATCTCTCACTCCCTCCACACTCACCCCTTCCCACCCAACACTCACATCCTTGTACACTGGGAATGTATCACTCACATTTCATTGCAAAGTATTCTTCAAAAATCTTCCAAACTCTCAAGGCTCAGTAAATAAAATTAGGTATTCCTCAACAAACCAGTCTGTGCTGACCTTATTTTGCCAGCTCTGGATTCTCTGTTATTCCCCTCTTTCTGACATGTACAGCAAACTACACTGTGGTACTTGGTCAGCAGACTTATAACCTTGACCCTGGACATCAATGCTGGAGTGCTTCTTTTGTAGTCCCCGTTCTTCCTCCTGTTCTGAAACTCTCCTGAGCTATGATACCATAATGCAATCCCCAGATGCTACTCGGAGCTGCTGATCTCTCGGTGAGGCAGTGTGTGCCCTTGAGCCAGGATCCTTCAAACTCAAGTGAAATCAACATCGTACGACAACTTATACTCTCGAGGACCCTGGCTTGAACTGAAGGACAATAGTCCCTTGCCCTGGTATTAGGGCGGGGCAACAGTTTATAATCAATAAATAAAAAAAAACAAATTGGATTGGCAGAAGAAAACCACAAGCTCACTGAATGACTTGTACTTCCCAGGAGTCTCTAAGAAGCCACAGCTCTGTAGCTATAAAGGCTTGACTCACGGCTGCTGGAAGGAGCAGCTAAAAGCAGGACCCAAGAGAGCAGCACCAGACACAGTGGTGAAACCAGAAAGGGATGCAAAGATGCAAAGCCGCGGCTGTGAAGGACTGGGAGGCCCTCCTGCCTGCTGGTTCTTTCCGTTATAGTTCACTTGCCTGAGTCACATACTCAACAATAGGATAAACGCCTTTTGACCGTGTACAAAGAAGACCTGTAGCAAATACTGGAAACTGCTCAGGTGAAAGAGACTTAACAGAAGAGACCTAGATCCCAACCTCAACTCTGGTAAACCACCAGCCACGAGACTGTCATGGACCGTCTCATTTCCATCCTTCCCAGTTTCAGGAAGTACCAAGGGAATGTCTCATTCACATATGTGCACAAGTGTACACTAGGAGGAACGGGGCACTCACAGCCCTCGAATGACATCACCACACACCACGTGACTTCTCCACAGCTTTCCATCCAGAGGCAAGGATGGCGTGGTCAGTACCTTGAGCTGCTGTAAAGCTCTGGCGATGACCGGCTGACTGGATGTCTGCTCATGGCGTACAGTCATCAGCCCCTCAATGGACTGCTGGAAGGCTTTTCTCTGAAGTACTAGCTGAGCAGACTCCATGACAACCAGCAGAAGGTTGTCCACCTGGAAGGAAAACCAAACGCAAGGCATAAACAGACCAGTGATGGCTTTCCAGGCCCCAAACAGCGCCACCCTCAAGACACCACGCAACAGCTGGCCACCTGGCTAGGATCCCCTTCGGGTACACCTGCAGACACACCTCCTGCAGGCCAGGCAGCAAGCTGGCTCTTCAGCAAAGGGAAGAACCCCACTCTCCACTGGGAAAGGGCGTGGGCACACATGGATGGTGTGCTGGAGCAGCCCACGAAGATAGAAGTCAGGGACGAGGCAAGCTCCCTGGCGAGAATCACTGAGAGACTAGGTTCTGCAGTATTTGGGAGAATCCTGCCTGTTGCCATGCTCCCTTTCAAACAAGCCACAATCAGGAGGACTGGAGGAGGGAAGGAGGAAAAGCCCAAGTAGGGCAGCACAACTGTCCAGGGAAGGCAATGGGGCCTGAGCTGTGGCAGGCCCCGCACACCAGCCAGATTGCTGAGCACATCTGGCTGCCAAGCTGGTGATTAGCTAGAGAGGTCGGAGGACACGTTTACGTCCGCTGCCACACTTCTGACTTAAACAAGAGAGTGGACACATCTGACTGAGAGCGCAAGAGAAAGAACAGGTGGGTGGGGAGGAGGAGACAGCAGCTGGTCCAGCAGGGCTCCAGATGTGTGTGAGTACCTGCTTTCACTGCCCCTAAGCTGGACACACATGTGAGGAGACTCTGGAAGCAGTAATCAGTGAATCTCAAAATCTGATCAGGCCCCATGAGGAGTCCTTCCGTGCATAAGTGACACCTAAACTGAACCGTTTCTGCTCTTCAGGGGCACTCTGGACTGTGTTGTCTAGAATTATTGACTCATCAATGAAATGACAACTTTAAGATCTAACTGACATTTGTGGATCTAAGAGGCTCAAAACAGTGTAAATCAAATGTGCAGGTCGTTTCAAACACCCCAGTATAACCCAACACACTTAAACCTGCTGGGATAGTTCCAGCACAGTCGTGCTAACAACACATGCAGTGAACTATACAGGCCTATTTTAGGGAGCATACACTTCAGATCAGTGAGGGTGCTGTCTGTAAGCTGCCACAGTGTTTCCTACAAGCATTCCGACCGTCCCAGCTGATGGCGGGAGGCCCACCCACCTGCATGCTTCTCAGGGTGTCCACGGTATCCACCTGAGGCACGATTTTGACAGCTCGAGCCTCCCACGTGCTCCAGCCCTCTTCTGAGTCATGGGCTCGGTCCCCATGCTTGGTCAGGAGCAGGAAGGCATCCATGAAGACGTCGTCTGGGTCCTTTGAGCAGTCCTTTCCTGTGGCAGCATTGAGTAGCTGCAAAATAATTTTCTTCTCCTCAGCGAGGCTGTCAGGGACAAACATGTGCAAATTCTCTAACCCAGGAATCTGTACCTGGAAAGGAAACAACCCATTTGTAAACTAGGAAATGTGTGATCAAAAGCAGCCAAGGCACAGGTACACGCCTGTATCCCTAGCACTCAGAAGCCATGAGTTAGAGGCCAACCTGGGCTATACAATGAATTCAGGGCCAGCCTAGGTGTTTCAGGACAGGAGTGGATAGACAAGCAGATTCAAGGAAGAGGATGCATGTGAGGAAGAAGGCATTAGTTCCAACAACAAGCTGAACTGTATGAGTGAGAGTGAGGAGGAAGGGAGGGAGGCTGGCAGGAGCTGGACCAATAGCACTGAAGGTTCTTTAGGCACTGCTTCACTGTCCCACATGCGACAGCTAGTTCTTCACGGGTGTGTGCCTGGGTTGGACTGATGGAGGAGGTGGGGTCACTTTAACATGGAATACAATGTCATGATAGAGGTGCAGGCTGCACAGCAGCCACCCCTACATCACACAGCCCCAGTGTGCTAAATAGTTTGATGTCAACTTGAAATAAGCCAGAGTCACTGAAGGGAAGGGAACTGGAACTGAGAAAATGCCTCCATAAGATCAGGCTGTAGGCATTTTATTGATTCGTGATTGATGAGGGAGGGACCAGACCATTGTGATGCCATCCCTGGGCTGGTGGTTCTGGGTTCTGTAAGAAAGCAGGCTGAGCAAGTCATAGGGGGAAAGCCTGTAAGCAATACTCCTCCATGGCCTCTGCATCAGCTCCTGCCTCCAGGTTCCTGCCCTGTGTGAGTTCTGACCTGACTTCCTTCAGTGATCAACAGCAATGTGGAAGTGTAAGCAGAATTAACCCTTTCCACCCCACGCTTCTTTAGTCATGGTGTTTCATCAAAGTCATAGACACCCTAAGACACCTGGGTCTGGCATATGCTTGCCAATGACATGTCATATGCAGGTCCCAAAGTGATAAATCTCAAACAACTTGAAGAGGACAGAGATAGGCCCAAAAAGTAACTATGACAGTGACCAAGATGACGTGTGGACTGCAGAGGGCCTGAATGCAGACACTAAAACCATTCATAGTCACAATCAGTCACTATTTTAAATATACACTTACATATTTAAAATGCATAGCTAAGTTAATGACAGTATACACTGAGGTTGACTCTTTGTCTGCATTTCTAAGAAGTATGAGGAAGTGTATTCTGTGTACTGGTAGGGTCACTGTGCAGCCTCCACAGTCCAGAGCACTAACTCTGCAGGTCACGACTGCGCAGCTCTCTAGAGCGCAGCAGAGAGAAAGGACTCACCTTCACGTACTGCTTTGCTTTCAGGACATCCAGGAGCTCTCGGGCAGACGCCGACAGCACAAACTCTGCTGCTATTTCAAGGTCCTAGGATCACAGAACAGAAACTTGTTCAGGATCAGCGTTAAGATGGAACATGGGAGAAGGTGGCGGCGCTCAGGTGGCAGACTCACCTTCCTCAGCATTTTAGCAAAGCCCAGAGCCTTGGAGGCTCTCTCCCGAGCTTCGTGGAAGAGCTCCTTGAGGGCTCGGCTGATCTCGATGACAGACCTCCTGCCGGGGTGAAGTTCAGTTAGTTCCCACTCGGGGCACTCGGGTACAAGAGTAACAAACATGTAGCAAATTTCAAAAGCACGGAGCAAACAGCACCTTGAACCTCATCAGTGGAACAAAAAGTTACTGAGAATGTGGCCAAATACTCAGACGATTAGACAACTGATCCTCAGACGGTTGTAGTAAGTACCTGAGCACTTTCAGTGTATGTAGGGGGCATCAAATATCCCTCAAGTAACAGTATGTTTAATTTTCTAGACATTATGATGACACATTCTTAGAGTTTAAGGGCTCATAATAACTGAAAAGAAATTTAAGCTGTGTGGTGACTACAACTACCCCCCTAATACCATCTCGGGGCTCATGCTGACTTGGGTGACACCGTGCTGCCACCACAGCTGATCACAAGGGTAGAACACCATGGAACAGGCTTAGTGGAGCACCAATGCCCTTCCACAGAGAACTTCGAGATCCATCTCTGGCAGGCAAGCGGAGTATCCAAAGAGCTGCTGCCTAGTACACCTAGTATACTGCTTCCATTCTTCAACTCTCATGGTGACTTTTCAGTTATAGCTTAAAGCTACAGGGTCCACCCCCACTCCCGCGGGGGGAGGGGGAGAGAGAGAGAGAGAGAGAAAGAGAGAGAGAGAAAGAGAGAGGCAGAGACAAAGAGAGACAGAGAGACAGAGGAAGAGACAGGAGGAGGGAGGAGTTTCAGTGGTTCAGCATCATGAGCCGACATGACAGTGGAGAGCATCCAGCAGACGAGCCATGGCATGTGTATTACCCTAATGCTCAACAGAAGGGATGCGGCAAGTATACACAGCAGAAACGTGCCAAATGGCATTAAAAAGCAGCATGGGCTGCGACAGGGATTTAAAGAACAAAAGCATAGCACTTTAAGATACTCCAGGAAACACGGGCAGTGTTGTTGCAGTGTTGTTGCAGCCATATTCAGCTAATATCCACTGCTTTTATCGTGTTGAAGTCTGTTTGCCTGTAAAGAGGCTCTCACATAAAGCCATAGCCAGAAGACCACTGATAATCCCCATCCATCACTGTCCAGAATCCAGAGGTAAGAAACAGCAGACAGCCGGGGTGACGCCAACCTTAGCTCATCAGCAGCACCGTTGTCATCAGTGCTTGTCCACAGCTCAGCACAGCTCTCCTGCAGGCCAGATTCCAGAAAGCTCCCCGTGGACTTCAGCAGCATCCCTGCGATGTCACTGGGGATGGACAAATGGCAAAGCAGGAGGATCAGCTGTCACTGCAACAGTTACAGACCAATGGGAGTTTTCTCTTAGCACATGACTGAGGAGAAAACACAGAACTCTGGCGGAGAGCCCAGCCCGCCTTTGTTCTAACACAGCACTGAGTATAAACCGTAGTGGTAAGTTGTGTGTAGGAGCCACATGATTACACAATGTTACTGCTTAAGTGTTCAAGATGGCGTAAAATGCCTCCAGCAGACCAAATGATGCGATGGCAGAACAAGAGAAACTGACGCAGAGCTGTTTCCAGACTCTCTCTCCAGGTCACCTCTCACAGCTGAAGACCGACTCTCTACTCCTGAACTTTCTTAAAGAACAGACCGCTTACACACTAGTGTTAATGAACACTCAAGCACGCAGAGCGGAGTGAATCATGGTGACAACCCTTCACTATCACTACTGACCTCGATGATGTTCATGGAAAGGCAGTGATGGAAACCCATCATCAGATGGGAAAGACACGGCAGTGAAGCCTCTTCTGGACAGAAAGCTCCCGCCACCCCAACCCCAAGCAAAGGCTGAGTGTTAGCAGGATTACCCGAAGGGAGGGGAGGGGAGTCTGGGAATGACAAAGAACCTGATGAAGGTAAGAAACCTCGTCTGGAGGGTGAAAACGCAGAGGTGCTCACCAGGCTGCAACACCTAGCAAGGGTCAGGCTGTGCTCTGGAGGGCCTGGGTTTAATGTAAATTAGTTTAATCACATGGCCATTAAAGCAGATGGGCTTTAAAATATCTGGTTGGGAATGTGGCTTGATCAGAAAAGTATTTTCAGAATATCATACAACGCATCAGGATGCATTTATTTAGAAGCCTGGCTCCTGTTCTATAGAAGCAACAGTGAGCGCAGTGGACAAAGCCCTCTACTAGATGGAAAGAATCAGGAATGAATCTAAGGTACTTGTGAGTGGGAACTTCTAAATGCGACAGGAAGGTGACACTAGGACAAAGGTCTGCAGGAAGTGAGGGGATGAGTCATGAAAATAACTGGGACATGTGGTCCATGTGTGGCAGCAGGCGCCATGTGCCCAGCCCACGAGCATAGAAGGGGTTGCTGGGCCTGCAGTGTGAAGTCCAGGAGGTGAGCACACACGCTGGATGAGAAGGCCGACTGTATGCTGCCCTGATGCCCGGAGCTGCCGAGTGCTCACAAGGGAGGCTGACAGACTTGTTGACATGGGCAGTGTGTAGCTGGTGCTGAGACTACAGGATCCATCCTGGGGTCGGGGGTGGAGGTGAAGGGGGCTAAAAGCAAAGCCTGGGAGTAGCCAGGACCATGGACAAGCTGGGTTGGATGGGAAGGGCACAGAGCTAGGCCAGGGGTGGCAGTCCAGGGAGGGCAGCAGTAAAGCCCTGGGAGCTATTCTCAGAACAAGGGGCAGAAGGCAAAGTCCAGAGACTGCTTTTGGGAATTTGAAGGACAAGTAGAGACAGAGACACAAACAGTAACTGAAGGGAGTGAGGTCACACTGCACTTGAACAACGTGACACAGGCTGACACTAAGTGGGAGCCTCTAAAGCTGGAGATAGAAAACAGAAGGGACATCACCAGGACTGCAACCTGAAGGGCTGGGAGCCAGCGGGCTCACTGCCCACTAAGATGACAATGCAGCCTAAGAACTGAGATCCCTGCAGGGAGGTGGACACAGGCTCCTGAGACACCAAAAATGGTGGACACAAAATTCTGACACTAAGAGAGGACAGAGATTGCCAAAGTCTCAGAGCACAGTTAGTCATACACAGCTGGGCCAGTACACACCTCCCAGGAGGGATGCACAGCTGGGCCAGCACACATCTCCCAGGAGGGATGCATAGCTGGGCCAGTGAACACCACCTGAGAGGGATGCACAGCTGGGCCAGTGAACACCTCCCAGGAGGGATACACAGCTGGGCCAGTACACACCTCCCAGGAGGGATGCACTGGGCCATTACACACCTCCCAGGAGGGATGCACAGCTGGGCCAGTACACACCTCCCAGGAGGGACGCACAGCTGGGCCAATGGACACCTCCCAGGAGGGATACACAGCTGGGCCAGTACACACCTTCCAGGAGGGATACACAGTTGGGCCAGTACACACCTCCCAGGAGGGATGCACAGCTGGGCCAGTAC